TGTAACATTTGTTGAAGAATTCTATAAAAAAAATAAGGGCAAGTACAAATCGATTGGGAAAAGATAAGCAAATTTGACAAAAGCATGGAAGAAGTTGACAGTTGTAAAAAACGAGGAATATTCAAACAAACCAAAGGAAGAAAGAGGAGAGACATATATGAAATGTACTATTCCCTTTCATACTCGTGCTCTTCCAATCAATTTTTAGAAGTTGCAGAATATGTCGAAGGAAAGGAGGAACTAAAAAAAGGGTGTGAGAAGATTGGGTTTAACAAGCTGCTAAATATAGGATACAAAAAAAACATATTGAGGCATTTGTGAAGAGTTGATGCAGGCATTAAAGGAAAAGTGAATAAAATAAATGTAAAGAATGTGCATAAAGAATGATGGCAAAGAGATTATTGAAAATATTTATGAGAAATCATTCAAAAAATTGAGAAAAATTTAGTTTAAAATGCTTTACAAGAAGATTTTAGAAATAATAACATTTAGAAAAAATGGTGCTCAATTTAATTTTTTTCCTTAATGTATACTTTAGGAACTCTATTGTGTCCAACTTTAGGGGTCAATGATCGTGTATTGAAGGTTATATATGAGACACAGAAAATAATTGATAAATATGACTAGGTAACATATGCTTCAATGAACTATGCAACAAAATAAAAACATGGAAGTAACAACTAAGTAAAGGGAAGGCAACAATGACAAAGAATGTTGGAGATACATCTACTTTCTCACGATAAGTGTGATTGTAATTCATAAATTAATATAATAATAATAATTTCTTTAAAGTATTATATCTAATTTTATGCAAATTTATTGTTTCTAACATTTTCTTCTTGACAAAGAAGAATAACCTAAGCCATATAATACCCTTGTATATTGGGATGAGAAGTTTATTGAAAGACTGAAGGTAGAGAATAAGAGTATTTTGAGATATTTTGCATGACTCCACCAGCATAGATGGTAGTTTATCCATTAAATTTTATCCAATACTTGCTTTTAGTCACTCAATATATATAAAAAGTAGTCAAATATTTATTTATCAATTTTTACATACTGAAACATAATTTGTTTTGCAGGAAATAAAGAAAATGCATAAAAGATTAGTATTTATTATAGCTGATGAGCTTATGAACTTATAATTTAATTAAGCTTTTAGAAAATTCAGAAAAATTTAAAAATATAGAAGGAAAGGGTGATAAAATATATGAAGATGTAAATGAGGATTCTGAAGAGAGTGAAAAAAAAAGGATCAAGAAGCATATGAGGAAAATTCATAAGAGGATGAGTACAAACATAAAAAGAAAAAGAAGAATTTTTCTGCTTCTTAATTCCCCTTCAGAAGTTTCCTCATCTACTATTTAATCCTTTTTTTTCACCCATGTCAAAAATTTTCTCATTTGCTTCTTGATCTTTTTCTTCACCCATGTCAGAATTTTCCTCATCTGCTTTTTGATTTTTTTCTTCACCCTCTTTAAAATCCTCAACTACTTCTTCATCTATTTCATCATCCTTTCTTTCTACATTTTTAACCTTTTTTGAATTTTCTAAAAGCTTAATTACACTATAGATTCATCAACTCCTCACCTATAATAGACATTAATCTTTTATATATCTTCCTTATTTCCTGCAAAATAAATTATATCTCAATATATAAAAATTGATAAATGAATATTAGACTACTTTGTAGTATTCATACTGGGTAACTAAAAGTAAATATAGGATAAAACTTAACAGATGAATTACCATCTATACTAATAAAGTCATGCAAAATGCCTTGAATACTCTTCTTTCCTACCTTCACTCTTAAAGTAAACTTCTCATCCTAATATGCAAGATATCATGTGACTTAAGTCTTTCTTCTTTGCTAAGAGAAAAATGTTAGAAGCAATAAATCTACATAAAATTAGATACATTACTTTAAAAAAATCACTATGACTCTATTAATTTATAAATTACAACCATACTTACCGTGAGGAAGTAGATGTACCCTTCAATATTCTCTGTCATTGTTGCCTTCCTTTCGCTTAATTGTCGCTTTCATATATCTATTTCGTTGCATCATTTATTAGAAATATATGTTCCCTAGTCATATTTACCAATTGTTTTTTATGTCTCATATATAATCTTCGATACACGATCACTGACCCTTAAACTTGCTGTTGGACACAATAAAGTTCCTGAAGTATACATTGAAAACAAAAAATCAAATTGAACACCATCTTTTCCAGATGTTATCATTTCTAAAATGTTCTTTTAAGGCATTTTAAAGTAAATTTTCCTCAATTTTTTGAATGATTTGTCGTCTATATTTCTAATAACCTCCTTGTCATCATTTCTTATACCCATCAAATTGTGCATGTTCTTTGCATTTATTTTACTCACTTTCCCTTTAATGTATGTTTCTTAGGTTGAGGGATCAAATGCCTGCATCAACTCTTCACAAATATCTCGATATATTTTCTTACATTCTATATCTAGCAGCTTGTCAAACTCAATCTTCTCCAACCGTTTTCTTAGTTTCTCCTTTCCTTTGACATACTTTGCAACTTCTGAAAACTGATTAGAAAAGCAACGAGTATGAAAGAGAACAACATATTTTATAGTTATCTCTCCCCTCTCTTCCTTTACTTTATTTGAACATTCCTCATTTTCTATTGTTGTCAACTCTCATGTTTTTGTCAAACTTACTTGTCCTTCTCCAATCAATTTTTACTTGCCTTTATTTTTCTTATAAATTCTTCAACAAATGTTACATGACTAGAAATATTTGCCTTCCTTTCTTCCTTTTTAGAAATTTATCATCTTCAATTGATTGAAAAATTAAGGAGTTAAAATTAATATTCACAAAACACATTTAACACACATTAACCACTTACAGATATTGTTGTCAACTTCTCTTCCTTTACTTTAATATTCACACTCTCCCCCTCTTTCCTTTACTTTGTTTGAACACTCTTCATTTTCTATTGTTGTCAACTTCTCCCATGCTTTTGTCAAACCTACTTGTCCTTCCCCAATCAATTTTTACTTGCCTTTATTTTTCTTATAAAATTCTTCAACAAATGTTACATGACTAGAAATATTTGCCTTCCTTTCTCCCTTTTTAGAAATTTATCATCTTCAATTGATTGAACAATTAAGGAGTTAAAATTAATATTCACAAAACACATTTAACATACATTAACCACTTACATATACAACTATATACATATACTTATCAATTTTCTAAATGAACTTGTTATTAACCAACAATATACTTGTCACCAGCAAATATCCACTTAATAGTTAATGCCCTGTACAATATTGTCAATTTTTTAAATGAGCTTGTTATTAACCAATAACATACTTGTCACCTGCAAATAATCATTTAGTAGTTAATGTCCTATACATTACTCGTCAATTTTTAAGTGAACTTTTTATTGTCCTACACCCTACTTGTCACTAGCCTATTCTTATTTAGTACTTCACACCTCATGCACTACTTATTAATTTCTTAAATGAACTTGTTATTGACCTACAACGTACCTGTCACCAACAAATATCCATGTAATAGTTAATGCCACGCACACTACTTGTTAATTTTGTTAGTGAACTTATTATTATTCTATACCTTGTCACCAATATATACTCATTTATTAGTTCATGCCTTGTACACAAGTTGTTATTTTTCTAAGTGAACTTCTAATTGTCCTACCAACATATATGCATTACATACAATCAAATACGGGTCAGAATCAAAACCACCAAAATGGTTTTTCCATATAAAATTTTGTTCACAATATTTTCCTATAAGGCACTAAAAAGGTGGGGAAACGAACCTCGGTGCCGTTGAGAGAGACAAAGTTCGTCACAAAAATGCAAGCAATCCAAAGTCTTTGACAACAAATGTAAGCAAGCAGTATGAGAGAAACACAACTGAAAGTTCAGATTTACATGCGAATAGGGTTAGACACGAAGATGAATGATCATACCCTAGGTCGCGGAAGAAAACACCAAGTCAGTCAAACACATAGACCAAGTCATAGACATCGATTCCCTCATCGTAAAGCTGTTGAGAGACGAAGCAATTAAGGGGCAAGAACTTTTCGAGAAATTTCCTTAGTGGCCAGCAACGAACTTGGTGATAGGCGAGACAGGTGAGATAAGAGGGATAATTCAATGATGGGAGTAGGTGGCTTTGTGTGGGCAGTTAATCATGGGCCCAGATTGTTTTCAAATTAGGGTCATTTTGGTCAATTGTCAGATACCCAAATTACTCTTAAGGACCAAAGAACTCTAGAATATTTTCTCCATTTAGTAAAACTTGACTACATTTAAATTTGTTTTGTGAGATCTAGATGTAAGTTTTCCCATTTTTTAGGGGGTAGGGAGTTGACATTTTGTAGGAAAAGTATATCTTGCTAAATTCATGATAATTCACATTTAATCAACAAACTCTTCTCATTCTATTTATATGATAGGAAGAAAATATTTGTTTTAGTCTTATTTATAATGTTCCTAAATGATTATTTTATCCATTTTTATCCTTTTCCCTCATTAAATATCAGGAAAGTTATTAAATGAGTATTTTACTTTTAAAGTATATAAGTTGAAAACTTATTAAATTTTTAGACATATTTGATGAGGTTTAAAATTTTTCACAATTCAAGTGAAATATATTAGAAATATGGGAAGTAGTAGCTTATTTCTACCATGATTAAAAAAAAAAAAAAGAGCAGTGTTGTATAACCTAGAAGTGGAAAGTGAGAATGTTATCCAAAAAAACAAAAAAAGTTGGCAAGTGAGAACAAGTATTCATGACATTGCAGTGCTCCAATCCAAGTATTCATGTGTGGAGTTACCTGTTACTATATTTAAGAGAGAATTACGAACAATTCTGATTATTAGATTGAATTAATTTTGATTGCACATGTAATCCACATGTCATCCTCTTTGGTATTCACATGTCAAGAAGAACATGTAGGTAATTTTGATTAAAGTAGACAATGCAACCATTGGCGTTTTTCTTAAAATTCAAGACATGGAGATAACTACTATTTTATACTGTTAGATGTCAATGACTAACAAAACAGCTACACTGCTTCTACCAATTAGAAACCTATAATATGTTGAAGCGGCACCTCCCTGAACATAGATGTCAAAGACTCTCATGTATGAAAATTTTATGCAAAACATGATTATCCAAAGAAATATGCACAACAATTTTGCAGTGGAAGGTTAGTAATTCTCAGCTACAGGCCTAGATGGGAAAAGCCTCAAAAGGAATGTCATCAATGACCAGAGGCACACCAGTCCTAGTACCTGGAAGGTCACAACCATAGCAAACAACGCACCACTTCGTTCCACCAGTTCTGGGGACTTAGGGAGCCCCGACATTGAGTACATCAGCCGCTCGACAAAATTAACAGCTTTTGTCAGCTGATACAGCCTATATACCTGCCAGATCAGTTCCGAATGTCACCACATTGACTAACTTTTTTAAATCAAGCTACGTGAAACTTCAATTAAAAAGGGTAGAGACAACATAACGTACCTCGAAGATAATGGGGACTAGAGGCCAGCACGATGACCCACGCTTGTCCAAATATCTCTCAAATGCCAATTGAACAGCACAGCCAATTAAAAAAGGAGCTACTGCAACCAGGGATGCCAGGCCGACCACTGGCCAGGTAAGATATGCAAGAAAGGCTGGAGCAACAACCTTGAGGCCAGTTGCAAGAAAAGCAGAGGATAAGTATCCTCTGAGACCTGTGATAAGACCCCATCTTTTCGTGCTATATTGCAAATAGGGTCTTTGGACATGATCAGCCACATGAAGAAAAGTTGCCAGTCCAATGTAGAACAGGGCCTCAAAAGAAAGCGAACTCACGATATCTGCACTTGATTGAACATGGAAATGATTATCAGAGATATTTCTATGCCCTCGCTTATAAGATATTTTTACAATCTAAACCATTTCAATGTAAAATTCAACTTCCTTGCCCTAAGAAAGTCATTGGAAAGAGAAACTTTAACCAAAACTATCAAAAGTATTTTCTACATCAACACACAGAAACTGTATAAACATGTCAAACTGAAATAAGCAAGTGATGCATTTATCTCAACGCAAACGTCCATGAGCATAGTTAACTCAAGTAAGCGTAGGCACCAGAGACACATCAGATTCTGAAGAGTAAATCAGAAAATAATGAAATCCATTCACAAGTCATGATCATTTTTCCACAAAAGTAACAAGGCCATTCTTTAATATCTTCAGCACACTTCACTTTGTTTTTCTTCCTCACAACATCTAATAAACATCAAGGCTTCTCTTTATTTCATCCCGTGTTACTTTGTTTGGATTGGTGAAGAAGGCAGTGAAGGTTAGGTTGTTAGATGTATCACCATATATATCATTTACACTTGTTCCTTTCTTGGTATTGAAAGCTTAAATGAAAGTCAATCAACTATTATGCTAGTAAATCATACAAAGCTAAGAGAATTGAGCCAGGAGACAGTGCAGGGTACCTCGTCTCAAACTTGAAATGCACTGTTCATTCAAAATAATATATGGACTAGCCAGACAAGGGGAGATTGGAGAAGCTTGGAGAAAGGAGGCTACAATAATCTTAAAATCGAAGTCATCACCTCAGTCAAAATTTTCCTCAACTGATGCAGTGAGCACATAAACACTATCATTTTGAAGCCAATTTTCACACAATTGATTCCACGGGTAGGCAGTGATCACGTACATAAGCAGTAACTTGTAATGATATATGTTACATACGGATGTAAAATATGTGTTAGCACAAAATTAGAGGCTTGTTTTGGATTGACACAACGTATAACTTCAGAAAAATTTATATCATTGAACTTCTAATTAAACATTAATGAAATGAACATATAGTTGTTCTAAGTTTTGATCTTACTTTGTGGCGGGGGAATTCTACTAATGAATTGCCATCATAAGTGGAATAAGAAATCCATAACATTGCTTCATATGATAGACGAAATATAAAAACGTAGAAACACAGCCACTTTATAAAGACGTATTGAATTGACTAGAATGTTAAGAGCAAATACAAGGTTCTATAAATACCTCCTAGAACTTCATCTTTCAAGAACGCCTCAATCACATTGCCAAGGAAAAACTGGGGAAGAATCAAAGACGATATAAACGCAACCGGGGCTAAGACCCAGAAGAGAGAGCCCTTCTCTTCTTGAAAAGGAGCGGATACCAACTTTCTCTCTTCAGCTGAGTGGTGTGTTAACCCATAGAAAGAAACAGAACCTGATTTTCCACGAAATGGTTCCACTCCATTATATCTAGTAACAGGCACGCTAGAACTTTGTTCTGGAATTAACTCCAAGTCACTATCTCCATTGGAAATCGAAGCATTAAGAACAAGCCTTCTGTTGAACCGCAGCAATGTCGACTCTTTAATCAGCCATTTTGAACCTGCAACAGAATGTGCCGCAAAAATTTGGCTCGTGAGTGAGGATATTACAAAGATGAACACAATAACAAATAATAGTATTCAAAACAAAATCTAACAACCACCCAGAAATGAAACAGACAAGAAACACATTCATCTGTTAATCACTTTTTATCCAGCGTAGTAGACAAACATTGGAGAAAGAAACGAACGTTTAAACGCAGCTGCAGAGCAAAGTCCCTGAAATCTCAATGATGACTTGGAACGGAAGACTTGCGAGGAACGATGATCAAATGCCCGAAAGGGAAGGCCGCGACAGACAGATTGCAATTCCATTATTTGAATTTAGGGTTTAACGGTTGGGGCTATCCGCAGAGCAAACTGAAGTTTTCTCCGCCCAAATGCTTCCAGAAAGTGTACTGACAGAGACCCGAATAGTGCAACAACGGTAATAAGAAATTCCATCCAGTAAAACGGCGCAGGACAACAAACTGTAATATTTGTTAATTTTGTGAATTGTTAGTAACTGTGATTAACAGTTTTCATACTAGACACAATCTAGTGCTGAATTACTGATTTAAAAATATAAAATATTTTTAATTATTTTAATTAATTAACTATTTTTAAATAAATATTATTTTTTCATATAGAGTCGGGAATAAGGGTCGGGCCTAGAAGGTCGGGCCTGAAAGTCCTATTTAAATAAAGGTTCAGGCTTTGAAAATAATTTTTTTTTAAAGTAATTGGGCTTGAGGGCTTGGCCCTGATAAGCCCTGTAAAATAAGGCTCGAGCCCGGGCTGCCCTTCAAGCCCTGTTATATTATTTTTTTAGTAAAATACGTGTTTGAAATCAATAACCTACTCACCTAATCCTACATCCATTATATTATTATTAATTTTAATTTATTCTAAAATTAATTTAATATAATTTAATAAATATTAATGTATAGTATAAAATTTATGATAGTTTTTATTTTTCTATAATTATTATGTTTGTATATTTATAAAAAATAAACTATTTTTTAAATGAAGATTTAAATTTTATTACTAGAATTCTAATGTATGTTATTTAATTTCTAAAAAATTATGATGATTTTAATTTTTTTAATTTTAAAATATTTTAATTTATTTATAATGTTTAATTTTATTTTAATTTTTTTATTTTTTAAAAAAGGACTTACGGGCCTGGCCCTAAGCCCTGAGTATAAGGGTCGGGCTTGAAAAATGGGGGTCAAAATGAGAAACCGGACTTTAGGACTTAGGCCCTAAAGGGCTGAGCCCATAAGGGCCGGGCTCGCCCGTATTCGCAACTCTATTTCCATATTTAATTAACCAATTTATTTATTGAAGATATTTTTTAAAAAATTATTTATTATATATTAAAAATTAGAAATATTTTGTATTTTTTAACATTTAATTGAAAAAATACTTTTATATTTTTTAACTGAGAGATAGTTATAAAAGCATGTGGTACATATTCAAATTAATTTTATATATTTTCAATTTTTACATACTTACATAATATTATACTCTTTCCGTTCAAAGATGTAAGAGATTTTTTAAGGAGTTGAATGTTAAAAAATATAAGATATTTTTAATCTTTTGATATGTAATCATTATCTTTTTTAAAAAGTACTCCTATTAATAATGACTTTATATTTATTGTAGGATATTTAATAAGGATAAATATAAAAAGATAGAGTTAGTTTGAAAGTAAATAATTACTTTATTGAGATAAAATTTAATTAAAAATGTTTTATATTTTTTAAATTGAGAGAGTATAATTTTTTTTTTTGTATACTTAATATTAGAAATAACTAGACTCAAATCCGCAATTTCAAAGAGGATTATACATAAAGCCCAGAAAAACAAAGTGAATAGAATTCCATGGGCCTTGAAAACCAACAAATGAACACACAAACATAAGCTCGACAGCCCAAAATAAATTTCATGAAAAATTTATAATGGCCATCTCATGAAACCTGCAACAAGCGAAAAAACACTTAAAAACCAAAACATTAACAAAGGCAACAGCCTCAAACTTTTGTCATTGATGATAGTGCACCAACTGTGGAATGCAACTCATAACTTGTTGATGAAAAATCGTCTTGATTGTGTTGATGAGAAGGAAGTGTCTGTTTAGATTGTCTTATTTAAAGTGGCATTTGTAAATCTTAGAAATTGGAATTTTCATTTTCTTTTCAAAGACATTGACTCAATTAATTTTCGACTCCTTATCCCATAAAGTAATTCTCAATCCCAAAATCAAGAGTCAAGTTGGAAAGAAATGATTTTTCATTGATGATGAAGATAGGAAAAATAAAACTCAAAACAGTGTAATTCATTATAGGAATTAAAATTTAGTAATTACAATCATGATTTTATGCCATATTAAATTATAGATACATGTGAAATTTTTTCAGTTGAAGCTAAGTTTGAGAAAAATAACAATAACAAAAGAAATCTTTGATACTAATTAATCCCAACAAGTGTGTATGAAAAAGCTATTCTTGCGTGGACTTGATGGTGCACCACGTCATTATAAAATTACATCATTTTAATCAAATAAAGTTTTATATGTCATCATTTTAAAAGATTTTATTTTTAAAATAGAGTGTCTCGTTAATTTATTTAAGAGAAAATTAACAATAATTTTGATTATTGAGTAACAAGTAATTTTGCACAAGAGCATGACTTGGTGCAACAAGTCTAGTAAAAAATTTATCGAGTGTGTGTATTGAGCAAGATCGGTGACATTGACACATTAATTTATTTTCACATTTTCTATCTTTCCATCAGCCTTAATCATTTTCTTTTTTCTTTTTTTGCTACGTTTGGAAAGCAGATCCTCATTTTTATTATTGTTGTTGTTGTTTTTTTTTGAAGTTCCTTCAAGGTAAGAAGATTCAAATAAAAATTTTAGATTTAACTTTTAATTACTATTTTTGTTTCATTTTTTCCTAAGAAAAAGTTTATATAAGTTGAATACTGATGGATCATCAAGGTTAAGGCATGCATCCAAATTTAAAGAATGTTACAAATGTAATGAACTTAAATTTTAATTGAATAAAAATTTTCTCCTAATAAATATTTTAGTTAAATAAGTTTTTTTAGCAAGTTTGATTTTATTTTATTTGAAATTATAAAAAAAATTTGTGTTCTTTGTGGTAAATTTTTTGTGCCGTTTTTTGAGATTTTCTCTTGCTCTTTTTTGTAATTTTTTCAAATATTTCTTTAATTAGATTTTATATCTTTTCGGGAATGAAAAAACAGAGCATTTCCGTCTCTTCTCTTCACCGACCTTAGACTTCTTTTGTCTCATCACTATCGCGCATTTTCTCCTCACCTTCAACTTGTTCTTCTTCTCTCCATCAGTCTGCTCCCCACCTCATCAATACGTTTATGCTATTGGGATTGTTGGGCTGCAAGAATTTCTTCCTTCTTTGCTGTTCTTTGTTGTTTATTGGTTTAGGCTTGACGGTGGAGTGTGTGTGCACACATTCTTGCTTCAATTCTTTCTATTTCTTTGCTGTTAAACGTCCTGTCTATGTGTATATTAATCTTAATTCCTTTCTTTTCTTTGCCAGTGATTTCTGGTCTTTCTCCCTCATTCAAGCTGCAGATTGGTGCCCTTCTTTCCTTCATCAAAGTCAACCACATGCTAGTTTTAAGCTGTTACCATTGCACTTAAGGTTGAGGTAAATCATTGAACCTTTCTTCTCCCTCTTCAATTGCAACAGCACCACTGAATCATTCCCTCCTTTCTTCAACCGATTGATTCAGTCCCTATTCCTCATTGTTGTTGTGATATTTTTAGTTAGGATTAAGGTGGTGTTTCAGTTGATGCTGGAAATTGTTTTATGGTGATGTTAAGCTGAAATTTAATTAATGAAAGTAAAAGTTTGAAAGTTGTTTGAATTTCTTGGTTATTCATCTCATAAATTTGTTAATGATAAATGCATGCCATCAAAATATTTGTAAAAATGCATGAAAAAAGAAATTAGTAAATTAAGTGTTGTTAAACCTCCATGTTATTTAAGTTTTAATTCAAATTATTAATTGAAATTTTAAAATACTAAAGTAAGAGAAAAGATTATGTAGAAACCTTGTGTCGTATTTTATTTAAGTCTTAAGAAAGCATGAGGATGATTGATTAGGTTTATTATGATTTATGATTAACAATGGGTTACGAGAAAGTATGAGGATAAATTGAGATTTGTTAATTGGTTTGACCAACTCAAGGATATTTGGAACATAATTGGTTAGAGTAAAATCTTAAATGTTGTTTATATTAAATTCAAATGCCCATTAAGCGATTAAAAAGTTTCTTGATAAATGATTTTAGAATTACGACTTATTTGTCAAGAAATTAAAGGCACTATTAGAATTACAGTGAAAGATTAAGAAAAGCATATTTTAAAATTTTGAAAAACTTTCAAGTAAATAACTGGGTAACGTTTTGAATTAATTTTTGATAGAATGTTTGTAAAATTTCTTTATTTTAACTTTACTGTTATTCTTTTATAAATTGTACAAATATTTTTGTTAGTCTTGAAACAAATATACGACAAATGGTATTATTTCTCATAAGTGGTTTAATTATTTAATTCTATGTTAATATAAAATTTTTATTGCAAATGATTCGTGTATATAAATTTGGACAATAAAAAATGATAGTTTGACAATATTTGCAAGTGAAAATTTTAAAATTATTTTTCTTACTCTATACACACTTGATTTTAGTGAAGGGGGGTTGAGTTCAAAACGTTGAATGCTAACGATAGTTCTGTTAGCCCTTGGTACATCATAATACACCTAGCTAGCAAGATGCGTTGGAGGTGCTAACCATGTGCGATAGCCAATGCATGTGGAATGGAGGGATAATTATTCGTGAGCATTGTACTTACGCTTGTTTTTGTAGGTCTTGTACTTGCGCTTGTTTCATGGCTTCTACCGCGCTTGACTGGTTACTCACTCTCATGGACTGTGTATCCACGCTTATTTAGTTATTTATCCTCATGGATTGTATGTCCACACTTGTTATTTATTTTAATAAAGCTCTCCTAAATTTAAGTTTAAATTTATCATTTCTCACTATTATTGGAAATTTTTTTAATATATGTTATGAACTATACAAATGTTAAACATTTATGTGATTCTAATAGCATTGTTTAATTTTGCAATTATATAATTGAGAAAACTCATTATTTATTATTAGCTGAAGTATATGTTTTATTGTTTCATTAAGTCATTTTGAATTTAAATTTATTAGTTACTATCTTCATAATTTTTTAAAATTATAATTTTGATTGAACTGCTACTCACCAAAAATTTCTTTGATCTCAAATATTGTAGCCGACCCTGTGCCTCTTGCTAATCATTGAGAGGCCCCATAATTTTTTGAACAATAGAAACCCCT